ACCTGTCAAGATGTGGCTCAAGCAAAAAGAAAAAAAAAAAATCAGATCTTATTGAAAGAAAGAAAATAATCAAATCACCATTCGTTTAAGAAGAAACATTTTTTTTTTTCTTTATTGATTTTTGCGTTTTCCATAAAACAAACTTAAAAAAATTAAGATGAATTAAGCATGGTTGGGAATAGGCTGCTAACATAACTATGAATGAAAGTGCATATCTTATGAAACTGAAAATTGATCAAAAGTGAGACAAAACAATCTATAACAGGCAGACAAACCGTCAGCCAATCGAACACTTTGTAAGAGCTTATATTTTTACTTAGTGACGTATGTAACGATATGACGACGAGAAGAAGAGAGATTTCAAAACAAACGTAAATATAACTGTATGAATGTATGCGCACAAACAATCCGGCAAATACAAGCATTTTAAAGCTTTACAAAATATTTTACGGTCGATTGTCTTTGCTTGTCTACGTATTGGTTAGTTTGCGTTTGTTTGCCTCACTATTTTTATTTGCAATTACGCTCTATATGAGATATGACGACAAAACAAACTAGCGAATATACCCCCCCTCCGCCCACATCGTTCTGCTTGTTGATATCGTGCCTTTAGGCAGGCACACATATATGAGCACGCATGTATACGTACATACATAAATATAAACATGCACGCATATGTATATTTTCGAATACAATATTTTTATACAGTACGTACATACACGTCGTCACTCACAATTGAATGATTTTTAGTCGTATCTGAAAAAACTTGCTTTCATACTATATTGCTGTATGATTGTGTATATTTGGGTGTTTGGATGTTTGAGTGTGCGCTTTTTTGCATATACTATGGTGGTTTATAGTAAAATAAAACGATGTTTAGCACTTCGTTATGTATGTTTCCTGATGATGCTATCTACATGCATTTGTGTGGATGTATACGTATTTATGTGTAACTTCTCCATCTTTAAGTATGTTATGTTATTGTTTTAATAGCTAATGGTGTTGAAATAATCTCTTAACATTTATGTTTGTATTTAAATTGTTTTCGTCTTTACTCATTCTGCCTAACACAAAGGACTTCGTTGGCTTTTTAGGCGACGAAGAAGAAGAAAAGAAGCTACGCAAGCCTTCAGGCAAACTATAAATAGCCGCCACTCTCCCACATATCTATAAATATCGCATCACTTTTGTCGGGCAAATCAGAATAGCTTTCAGCGCGGTCCCCTATAATGGGCTTAGCTAGCAATTACGTGTATAGAAAATATTTGAACAAGCAAGCAAGACTGATTTATTTAACAATTTTCCATTTCATTTTCGAAATAATCTCAGAATTTCAGATGCATAATCAAGCCCAGAATGAATTCAACTATATCTATATATATACATATATATATATATATATATATATGTTTAAGCTAACTGCTTAATAAGGTTTTTGAAGCTGAGAATTTCCCCTGGATCATGGAGGAAAGATCAATACAAAATTACTCAAATAAATGGTTTGGAATATGAGATTCCAAACTTCAACAAGTTAACCGCGCTCCGGTATGGCACATATATATATACATATCTATATGTATATATGTGAATAAAATGTATGTAAATTTTCCCGTTAAAACTTTTAAAGACCCACATACACATATCGATAAACATGATTATGGATTTACAAGAATGTATTTCTATTATATATGTAAATAGCTTATGTCATTGTGTCACCTTAATGCAATGCATTTAATCTTATTAAGCTTAAGTTTAAATACTTTGGAAATCTTTAATCTAAATATTTACTTATTTTCTCTTGCTTTTGTATTTATATTCGATGACACACGAAAAGCGAGAATTTAGGTCTACTTGCAGACATCAAAGATATAAATTTCTTGCGCTCTCGGTCACTTTAGCAATAACACCTTCTATTAAATAGACCTTAAGCTCTATGATGGGAGTCTTAAGTAAATCATTTATATTCTTATCAAGTGATAATATTATTAACAAAAAGTTGTAATATATTTCAATCCGAAACATGAGTATGCATGCTGGCCCAAAAATTGATGCAAAGTTTAGAATGATTGCCATTTCGATCGGCCAGTATCAACCAAAACCATTTTTACTTAGTGTCAAATACAACTTTCTCCTGCTCGTTTCTTTTGTTCTTTGCGTTTATTTAATGTTTCTAATTAAATCAAAATTTTTTCTAACCAACCATGATAACCCAAATAATAGGACCTTGGCACTTGACATTGGAATTCATTCAATTAACACGTTCACAAGAAGAAGAAGAGGATTAAGTGTTCGTCCAATTTTTCTAATTGTTATTGCCAATATTGCTATGCAATATATTCATTACAATTGGTCATGGATTATTATGACCTGTTACATATGGAATAAATATTTTCCCTTCCTTTGTATAATAACCCCAAAAGATCTTTGGAATATTTCGAATACTTTTGCCGGTTGCCACCATAGTGTCCCTTAAATAGTTCCCAAAGTATTTTCGGACCATCTTCAGGCAATCCCATAAGCGTTTTCTTTCCGAAAGAGCATATTCTAAATCATATTCGAATTTTTTGGTTATCAACCTGAAAAAAACGCCGTAATTTGATCGTGTAATATATGGATATTCTCTGGATGGAAATTAAAGCCTTTTGTTGTAAATTTCGTTTAGCGCAGCATGCGTTTACTGCTGTAACATTTTTTCCGTTAAGATATTCTTTCACTCGGCTTTATACTACTTGCTAGGTGAACTCTGAAACTTTCCTGACTTTTTGAAAGCATACACATCGATATTGTCGAAGCACTGTAAACTTCGAATTCCCCGTGTCGGAAACGCACTTTTACTTTTTTTATTTTCAATAGGGTCAAAATTATTTTTTATATCGTGTATATGTGAATTTGCGATTCTCTATCTAAATTCTAAATCGAGGCCTTTTAAGAGTAGACATTTCCATTACTGCGAACATATATAGACTTCGCAAAGATTAAGGATTACCGGGAAACATTGCTAAGGAACCTAAATTTACTATTACTTGACGATCATTCATAATTGACTCAGTCAATTTTATATAACAGTTATCCAATAAATTTCGGCAAAAAAACTTTGACATTTAATCATTTGCACATTTTTCTTAACACAGCCTGCTTAAGTAAATAATTTTCGTTTAGTTAAAAATGGAATTTAAAGATTTTAGCGCCTTTATAAAAAGTATATGGTATACACATAGACGACGATGTTATGAAAAAAACTGTACAAAATTCTCTCCAGCAGAAGCAATTAGGTCAATGACGGCTTACAGAATCTATTCACTTGTAACCAAAGATATTTAAAGTGCAACTAGGAACAGGATACAAAGAGTATTTAATAAAATCTAATCCATTTCTCTTAAAAGTTGGGATTCCTTTCTTAAATATTTCTTAAAAGTTAGAATTCCATTTTAAAAAATATGTTTTTAAAGTACGTGTATTTAAAAAATTGCACTAGTTCCTTTGCTAACATTGTGGTGACATATCACTATTATTTATTAACTGGTTAACTTAAAAGTTAACTAAATATTGAACGATTTAAGGGAAAAAAAACAAGGTCCAATGACCGACAATTTCCAATTATCCATTATAAGTCAATTTAGTGAGAAAGCGAACATAAAATTACAGCGGTACAACGCGAATATCAAAATATTCTAAAACAACAATAATAATATGTATCGCTTGAAAAATATGTATAATGTGCTGCACTTGGAATACAATTGTAAAAATAAAATACTAATTAAAAGTAAATTATACACAAAAGAAGATATAGAAAAAGAAACTAAGGAAAAACATGAAAAATATAAATAATGGATACACACACAAATCAAAACGTACGTCGCGTATGCAAAAATAAAAAAGAACATGTGAGTGTATGAGCATTAAGAGAAATCACCAAAAATTCAACAATTTACCACCAAAGCTATTCAACACTTACTCCCACTTTTTCATACATATTTAAACACATTAATTCTCACCACTACAAAGCAATATACGTTTCGATAAATATTCACCGCACAGTTATGGCAAAATAGAAACAAAAAAAAATAACAAAACACAAACCCCAAAAACTTGTACTCATGTATACATCTGCATACACAAACACAAATACACTTTCTCTCTCCTTCGCGAACGCACACCCCAACTTAAGCGTATACAGACAAAACAAATAAAATGCAATAGCAATCAAAATAATGCTTTGCCATTAATTAATAAACTAGAAGAAAAAAAAAAAACTGCAACTAATGTAAGTTTTCTAATACTGGTTTCGAGCATTTTTAATGTAACTTCTAAGAAATAAAAAAATATTTGACCGGTAGCTTTTATCAATATTCATATTCTGTAAATAATAACAACAGAAAAGGGCAACGTATTATAAACAATGACGTTAACAGAGGGCAAAGACGTGAGTTATTTAATATGTCAGAATTGCTTGATTTTTTGGCAAACTGTTAGATATGTACGTACGTGTATTATAAAAGATACGTCAATGTTAGTTTCGCTAGTTCTTAAATAAGTACATTTAACGCGTATACTTTTATACAACACCAACACTTTTATTAATGCGAAAAGCCGAAAAGCAACGTAATGCGAAGGTCACAATGTTTTTCTATTAAACTTTTTGCACTTCTAATGATTTTATTTAATTTTAACTTAAAAGAAGTTTTGCTTATATATTTCATGTATGAATTCATAAACTTATATGTAATTTTTTTTTTCTTGTAATGGTCGATAAAAAAGAAATATTTACGTTTTTCTGTACGCGTTATTGATTGCAATATTTTCTTCAATTCATAGATTTTTAATCACGTATAATACGGTCTCACAATTTATATATATATATTTACATATATATATTTCTATATATGTACGTGTAAATAAATATTTGTGTATATACTCGCGCTCTCTTCACCACGTACATGAACTCGCGTTTACTCACTCACCAACTATAAATATTCATATATATATATATATATACTCACACAATACAATTTGTATTTCTTTCCCTCAATTACTCTTTACGCTTTTCACGAATTTTTTTTTCACCCGTTTTCTTTACTTTTTTGTATGTCTGCTGAAATTGACTATTTTTTTATTTTAAAAATTGCATATTTAATTGCTAAAATATCCATTCCAATTTTTTAAATTAGATGTAAACATATCTTTATTGTCATTTTAGATTAAACTTTAAGAAGTTTAAGAGTTTTTCTTAATAAGCAAAAATTAAATGAAAAATGTGAAATTTGTATCTTACTCCTCGTCTAAAAACACACAACACCGATTCCTTTCCTACAACGAATGGTCACAAAACATTCGTCACTACAATGCCGCCATATTGGAAAGTTTACATGCCATGGTGGTGTATATAAAATAAATAAACACGCAAATAAAAACAGAGTTGTTTGCAAAGAGCACGAATTGATGCAACTACATCTTTAAATATTCTCTTGCACGTCCGTCCATTTGGGTTTTGTTGAAACAATTTCTAACCAACATTTAACCAACTGCCAGCAGATAGAGAACGTGATAAACAAACCATTTTTTATTTATTTTCTAATGCAGTTTCACTAAAACAGAGGTTTTTTAACAAGAAAAACGATTAATTTTTCGTAGGAAAAACTTATTGCAATTTTTTCCGCCTTGTAGGAGTTTTTAATCGATTATTTTAATTATTACTACGGCATTATTCACTATCTTAGCGTCAAGCTAAATTCTTTCATAAGTAATAAATGTTTATTATTTTGTTCTTTTAGTAAGTAAAAATTTACACCGTACGTTGAGAGACCGAACAAGAAATTTTATTGACGTTGTGGTTTTTTTACTTCTTTACAAATTTTGCTTTTATGGCCCTTTTTGGACATAGTTCTACTGTTTTTAACATAATTTTACCATCTTTTTAACAGCGGTTTCAGCTCCCTTCGATCACGTTGCACTTGGCATCCCTGGGATCGAAAAAACAAAAAAAAAACATCAAAGTATAAAATGGAAAACTAATTAAATTAATACAATAAGAAATATTTTTCCCACTATATACTTGCTGATAAACTCTAACACGATATCGTTTTAAATGAAAGAAGTCAGGTTTTTTTGCTGATGATTAAAACCAGCCCAATATTTCATAATTCATACATATTTTGATTATGCAATCATAGCAAAACAAAGCCTGGAAGTACTAATTTGCTTTTCTTTCTAATATTATCTCTTCTCTGATCTCCACGAAACGAGTAACAATTTTTTCGTTTTTCGGTTTAGAAGTAGCTATAGTATGGCATTAACTTATGCCGCAATAATTAATTCTTATAGAATAAAGAACAAAATATTTTTAAAAATTTCGCAAATTAGAATTATTTATTTACATATTTTATTTACCTGCGTCGAGCTCCAGACAACATATGTTTTTTGTTTACTTTGCATATACAAGTGACCGTCTTATAACTGGCCTAAGCTATTAATAAAGCAGTACTCTAGAAAACTGTTGAAAATTTAGAAAGATCCAAAAATATTTTGGAAACATTTTTTAGCGTTGCTTACGTACCGGTACCATTTATTCGGGTTTATAACCATGTGTTTGGATACATAATGAAATGCAACAAACGAACACATAAACGGCATGACCGCTTTCACTGATAGCTACTTGTACATAAATGTAATATAAAAAAGTTGAATTACATTTTTACAAAATAAAGTTGGAAAAGTTCATAAGAATGAATGATTTTGACTTTGAATTTCAAAGTATTCGTCAGCGTTATAAAGGCCCGGAAGAACGGGATTTACATTTGAAAATCTACGAATATGGAAATGATGTATTAGAAGTAAATTTAATAAACAAGCATTTTTCGAGATTACGCCGTTCATTGCAAAAGCAAGTCGTGTGGATGTTTATTGTAATGATTATCACGTTATTAGTGAAAATCTCTTTAAATTTTTACAGTAGCATAATTAATTTTTTATTATTATTCTGGTTAATAATAAAAGTATGGTCTATCAGCAGTTTAGTGAAGAATGGTAAGAAAACAAATTCTTTCGTATCTATATTTATAAGATTACTAACATTTCAATTTTTCTTTGTTTACAGAAAAGTTTATATTTTGTTATGATTTTGGCTTGCAAATACAGACCACAACTTTTCTTACTAAAAGCAACTATTTTATGGCGGCATCAAGTATACATGATATAGTCATTAATGAAGTTTTAGAAAACGTAACTATTTCTCTTGAACAAAAACACAAACATTAAGATAACTTTATATTCTAGTTTGATTTCCATTACTTACTAATTGTGCGAACTAAAGGCGTGCTGTTTCGAAAAAAACCGATAATACCAATATTTAAGGTACAAACATTTTGTTTTACAAAGTTTTCATAGTATTTTGACATTTTAATGTGTTTTTAGCATTTGAAACCCTGCGGTGATTGCTTACATATAATTTATAAACATTTAAATAAAACAATGCGTAAAACATGTCATGAATGAAAATAATAAATTAAAATTAAGTTACATTAGCTCCAGAGCTTTTTGTGCGACAAAAGTTTGTTTACGCAAGTAATCGGCCTGAAAATAAACTGCATAGCTTTCTTTTCTTTATAGTTTGAAAAAGTAAAATATTTACATTTGTTGCTGTATGCAAATTGGTAAGCGGAGGTATATTTTGAGGATCTGGTAATTTTAATTTTACATCATCCACGGTCATTTCCACATTGATAAGACTTTTGCTCTCCGAGACACAAATCTTCTTCATTATTGTACGATATTTTGAGACCGTTGCGCGATAATTTATTACAGCCTCTTGTAAAGGTCGAATTTTCATCATTCGTTGCATTTCTGCGTCTATAATAAGTTAATAAATATTAAATGTATCTTTAAAATAAAACCAAATGAAATTTCACCCATCTTAATATCATTTAAAATTGTCGTGTAGACTATATGACAAGTAAAGTGCTGCCAAATATTTTATGTAGAGGAATAGATTTGACGATTAATACTTTTTGTTGGTACTAATAATACGAAGAAGCATTTTTTACAAACGGACTAAAAGAAACAAAATTTTTGTATTTTTTCTTATATACTCCAAGCAATCGTGAAATTGGTGTGCGAACGTTTACAGAAAAGAACTCTTAGAATTAAAAAAGCAATCATTAAATTATTTGGTGTTTTCAAAAGAAAAAATAAGCATTCATTATAAATAAAAATATAATAAGTGGGAAAGAGAGGCAGAGATAGTGCGTGCGTAACAAAAAATATTCAATCGTGATGTCATATGCAAAAAGAACAAAAAGGCATTTCATATATTAAAAACAGCTGTTTGAGGTGTTTAAGAGCATATTTATATTTTTGCAATCCATTCATCATACTAACTTGCCTTGCGAAGTAGTTGCATGCAATTAGTTAGGATTGTTGTTTGGCTTCAAGTCGGCTTAATTAGACATATAATGTATTAAAAATTGTATGAAAGGTGCGTAAATATAAACATCTTGGTTTAAGTGCGGGCGTGTTCAGTTGAAAACAAGCAAACGTTACTAAAATTCCGGGTGGAATTTGAAAAAAGCTTTACACTGTATATACATATACGATGATGATGCCATCGCAACCTTGAATTATACGTATTTTTTTCGGTGTGTGTGTTTATCTGAAATTGAGAATAGAATAACACTTGTATCGCGATCTCGATGTCCTTGTTTTCTTTTACGTTTTTTTTATAACAGGCCAAAATAATTCATATATTCTCTGTTTACTCCTTGAACTCCATTTTTGCTTTGCTTTGCACAAAAAAATGAAAGCCGTAATTATCAACGAAATGTTTTTTTCTGTAAAAGAGATAAGAGTATTTATAGTTGTAATATTCGTGACTAAGAGCTAAGCCTGGTGAATTTATTTTAAAGCACTTCATCGTAAATGGGTTTGACCGATATTCGCATATTTTTTAAGGCTTATCAAACGTTAATGTAACAAACTTTAACGCATAGCAAACGAAGAGAATATACGAACTTTACCCACAAGTGTTTATCGTATAGGAATGAATTTGATTTTCAGTCTGCTTAGCTGCATCATGAATCGGCATGGATTTCCCATTAGAAATATTTCAGAGTTGAAAGTTGGCACCATAGCCTTTTATATAATAATTATTTCCCAATATTCCTTAAAAAAATTATTTCAAAATATCAGTGTTTATGCATATCCTTGACTAATTTCCATAGCTGAAAACATGTTTCATATATTGCATGAAAGAAAAATGTAGAACAAAGCTATTAAAGCAAGAAAAGTACATTTTTGCTCATAAGTAATTGACTTGAAAATGCTTTTTAACAAACTTTCCGATCAAACTACACATAATTGTAGGTAGTTTGGAACTTTTGATACTTCTCTTATCAATACAAGTTATCGTTTGAGGAGCAAATAGTCAATACGTTTAATCTCGCCAATTTTTCTCTTCCAATTGCTCGGCTTGGCAGATATCTCTTTTCAATTCTGCCTAAAAATTTATCTCCTTATATAATAATAATAATAATGATTTTACTTTCTTTCTCAATACTTTCAGTTCCTTTCCCTAGGTTTATTATACCCGTTAGCTAAAAGCCGAATATCTTTTAAAACTCAATATAACATATATCCGTGGACATTCCTGAAGTTCGAAATCATGAATCGTTCCGATTCAATAAGGCGTGATCGTTCATTTGATAGCGTTTTAAATAAGTTAATGCGCATACGTAACCAGAACCATGAAAGCTTCAAAGCGGCTATGTACAATTTTCTTATAGCTGCTGGTGTAGCAGCTTTTGTAGCGGTTTGTTTAATTTTGGGTCCATTCGTACGACCACTACTATGGGCTTTTCTCATGGGGGCTGTGCTCTTTCCCTTTAAACGGCGTTTAGCTCAGCTGCTGCACAGTTGGTTTGAGAAGTTAGAAGAGCGCGATTCAAACGTTTTTGTAGCCTTTTGTTTGGCGCCACTGGAGACTACCGAAAGTTGTGGTGAAATATTTGTGAGTTGGTTAATCGAACATTGGCAAATATTAACAGCCGGTGTGGGCATCGCGGCCAGCGTTAAATTATTAGTTCTGTACGCCCCTAAGGGTTTCCTATGTGCTACCTGGCGTTTAATAGTTTTTTCTCATACAGTATTTGTACAACTAATTGGTTACTTAAACATATATCTAGTAAGTGTTTCTGTGTTTATATTTGCAAGTAATAGAAAAAAAAAAGTTTTTATTCTCTTTTAGTTGGTAGCCATTATTGCAGCGTATCTTAGTTCGGTGTATTTATTTTGGAAACCGTCAAATAGTGCTCGCTTTGTTATGGCCGGTCAAAGCTTATGGCTAGCGGTTGTTAGTTATGGATGCAGCTTCCTGGGTGCGATGCAAGTGCCTGCTTTTCTTTTGATTATGTGTTACGTCGGAGCTTCCATAATTTATCACTTGCGCTGCACTGAAGGTTCTAGCTCGTTGGCAGAAAAGTTTACCAAATTATTGGATAAAACCGACTTTGAGAAATCGATTAATTCCTTGAAGCGTATTAATACACCCATACTACATTCTGACATCGAAGATATATCTTTAAGTGAAACGATTGACTCTGTGGAAACATTAGGAACTTACGATCTCAAAGAGGATAGAATATTAGAAGACCAGCATTTAAGCAGCATTTATTTTAAGTTTTTATTTTATGCCTGTTTGGCTACGTTTTTGTATCGCAATATTTGGATGATTTTTATGGCTGCAATTCCCATTTTCATCCATTTGCTATTCACGCTAAGTAAATATACAGGTTTTACGGATTTTGTTAATAAGAAAATCTATGACGTTTATAGTGAGATTAAGGAAAGTTTTTCAAATTTTTTTCAATTTTTGAAAAAGATAAGTAAACGTTTCTTGTTGCTTTTTTACAGTGCTGGGCTATCGACCATCATTCTGCGGTTTTGCCGTTATGTTTGCCTGGGATTTTAGAATTAAATTATGAAATAAATACAATTATACGTAATGGTCTTAAATCTTCCGTAGATTTGGTGACTTCGATATTGATGATCATTTTAATGTTATTGATTATTGTTTTCCTGAGCGTGTTCTTCTGTGTCAATATCTACTCCGAGACCATAGAAGTGGCATATCTGGGCAAAGATCTTATTAATAAAACTATAACCGATCGTCCTGAATTAATTGACATATTGCCGGCCAATATGCAAGCATCTATCGATGATGCTTTGGATAATGCCCACACAGCTGGACGACGAAAAATTGAAACCTATATTGATGATTGGCTTACTGAAGCTGATCCAGTGCATGCTACCAAATTGAAAGATCAAATTCTGGAAGTTTGGGATCGTTTAATACAATATTGGATAGATTTTAATAAATCCGATTCGTATGGTCCTCGAGTACCGACTGATGCTTTAAAAACGACATTTGGAGAAATTGTTGATAATCCGGGTAAGTTTACTTTGTTGTGTGTTTGCATATAATAAATGAATGGTATTAAACCTATTTTTTTTTTTTTAATCTACTATCGGTAAGAGTAATTAACAAAAATTTGTCCAGTTATACTAACATTTTTCACATACACATTTGCTGATAATTTCATCAGAACTTCATTATTATTTGAAATAATTTAATAAAAAAACATCAATTGCCGGAACATTATGTTGTGTTACACTAAACGAAAAAAAAAAAAATTGAAAAAGTAGACAGAAACGAAATTCCAAAAAAATTGGCTGAATTCAAAAGGGTACTCCATTTCAAAAGCAGCAAACATTTATTTCTTTAGGTATAGACTAAACATCCCACAGTTCTTCGCCTACTACAGTTCATTTACTACTTTTCATCTACTTTTTCTTTTCATATATATACTAAAAAACACTAATAATTTTTATATGAATTCAGCTAATTGTACCCTACACCAATTATTTTAAAGAGCATGCTAAATTCGTTCGTTCGACGTCTGAATTTCCGTTGGCTTTTCAATTCAACGTACAGGCATCAATTTTCAATATACCTCGGCTTAATGTGATCGGAGCATTTTTACGTGTAAACCACATATTGAAAGAAAAAAGATGTTCCCTAAAAAAATATTACCATATTTAATATTTTTCGACGAAAATCTGCGAAGAATAGTCTTTTACGTAACAGATGAATATTAAGAATATGGATTGGAAGAATGGATTTTTTAAACCTGTTCTCATGTATAAAATATAAATGTTTTTCCACCCACCACCGAACGATGGGAGATATATTCATTTTGTCAAAACCTTTACGACACGCAGAAAGAAGCTTCAGAGATCCCATCTATTCTTGATCAGCATGTCTGTCTCTTCCTCTGTCCGTCTGCTTGTCTTTGTAATGTCTGTGGTCAACACTATTCTGTTCGTAAAAACGAAGCTATCGGCTTCACATTAAGCAGAAAAATTGCAAGTTCTTGGGGACAAATCGATCAAAGGACACAAAGGCGCAAAGGACACAGTATTGCCTGAGATCATCGATGTTTCCAAAATTTACAGCAATTTCTTTTTTTGTTCCTTACTCGTAAACTACGATAGACTTTAGGCGTAGTCCTGCTGTACCAAAATTGGAAAATCGAGTGCGCCTACACACATTTTTAATGTAACCGATTTTTTAAACTATTTTTTTGTCTTCTGCGCATAAGGCAACTAAGACAGAATGTTGAAGGTTTTTCTATATACACCCCACATAAAGATATTTTATAGATCTAACAACGTGCTAAATCTAAAATAAATACGATGGATCCCAGAACACGGAGGGTACGTTTTTTCTTAGTAGTATAATGAATTGGGTATCAAGTAAAAGGACTTGCAGAGTAGAGTACGACAAGCTAAATGTTTTAATTTTAAATTAAATATCGCGGACGTCACGACAGGCGATGGGTTACAGTGATGGGTATAAAAGGCACGATCGGGGAAAAATATAATTTTCTTACGGCTTATGTCTAACTCTTTACATTTTACCGCGGAAATAGTTGAGAAGTGAAAGTAGGTCCTTTGACAAAAAACAGGTAACTATGTTAAATTTGAGCCACACCGTCTCATCGACTCCATCTCATAAAAAATTTTTCCAAGAGGTTCTTTTAGACAAAATTTAAGTTTTATTCAATTTTTAACTTTGGAATGAAGTGTGCGAGGTGGTGTAGGGTATCTATTTATCGGCTGTAACATTTTAAAATGTTTCGGTTTTCGTTTGCATATTTTGCTTAACACCTAATTGATGATTTTAATAACATTAGGAATTCAAGGAAAAGCCGACTGAAAAAGTAAATCAAAAATTTCAATGAAATGTGTCGAGTTCTTCACCAAGTGCGCCCGTCACCGATGTTCGTTCTTGGTTTACAGCTCCGAAGTCGCAAACCTGAGATAACGTAGATGGCCAGTTTTTGAGAATGGAATGTAGTAGTAGCGTCGTGCCGTCATAAATAGTATCTTCTGTATGTCATCTCAACTTTGATAAAAGACTGCAAACAATAGAAAAATGTAGCGTATACTTAAACTTAGACTGTGCGCTTTAATAAGTTGAAATGTTAAAAGAAATAATCTGAAAGGCACATAGAAAACTTATAACGTCTCTTTAAAAAGGTCCCAAGATTCCAAATTATTGTTATTTATATGTCAATATATATGGATAGTTAGTTAGTGTAGCTCATTCTAGCAAGGATTGTTTATAATTTATAACTTTTAGACAATAGTAAGAAATAATAGTCTGCGGAAGTTATGTTGCAGTTAAAAAACAAGCGATTTTCATTCCATAATACTCTGCTAGATTGGAGACCCTTTTCTTAGTTTATCTTCTTAAGAGAAACAATATTCATCTAAACATATGTTGGTTCATCCAAGTGCGATCGTCTGCCGGTTATTTCAAAATTGCAATTTTTTGAATTACTCCTTGAAGATCAGATCTGAAGCTTAAGTTCTAAAAAGGGTTATAGTTATATAAACGATGAATTCGCTTTAAAGCCAATTTTGTTTCCTCTCTTTTATATAATTCTAATTAGAAAGGGAAAATATATAAGCTGGATAAATTTCTCATACGATCAGGGTCCACGAAAATTGTGTAAATATTGTCTTATGCTTAACATGCATGTATCCATACCTAACTATGTCATATATGTTTTTAATAAAGGACATTTTAAAGAGCTAGTTTTAGTGGCCAAACAGGGAATTATTGGATGGGCGCAAAGTAATACGCAAACTATACTGGAAGTAGCCGAATCATTATGGCATATTATACGTACTAACTTATCGATGATAATGACCTTTACCGGAGAAATTCTATCATTAGTGCTATCAGGTGGTCAAGCTTGTGTAGAATTTATATTGGACATGGTGCGTATATATTAAAATATAAAAGAAAAAGAAAATAAAAAGAATGTTGAAACAATACTTGTCTCTTCTTTTCCTAGATTGTTTTCTTTACCGCATTATTTTATCTATTGGCAAGCAGTAATAGTAAATATGCTCCTTTACATGTAACAAAATATTTGGGTTTCTCTTCTTCGGGCTCGAAAATTGCTGAAGCGTTAGAGAATTCTATCTCTGGAGTATTGATATCAATGTTTAAATGTTCAATATTTACGGGTCTCTTCACCTGGCTGGTACATACGGTTTTTGGAGCAAGAATTGTATTTTTACCTTCCGCTTTGGCGGCTATATTGTCGGCGGCGCCTTTCTTAGGCAGTTATTGGTGTTCTTTGCCGGCTTTATTGGAATTATGGTTAGCACAGGATCGTTTATATGCCGGCATTATATTATTTTTGCTGCAATTTTTTGTGCCACCATATTTCGAGGCCGCCATTTATGCTGAAATGAAAGGGTAAGTAAAAAAAATTTCAAATTTAGAATTTATATCAGAATGTAATGGCATTTCTTGACACCAACAGTGGCGGTCACCCGTATTTGACCGGTTTAGCTATAGCAGGCGGCACCTATTGGATTGGTTGGCAGGGCGCCATATTCGGCCCTTTAATGTTATGTTTCTTTATTGGTATATTCGAGGTAGCTGCTGTTACTATGCGTGACGAACCCAGGCAAGTAAATTTCTCTAAATTTGAAAGCCCAGCATAGTAGCAAAATGCGTTTATCATAAAACAATTCATAAACCAATCAACTCTGATTTTGTGGTCATTTTATTAATACATTTTTACAGACGTAGCTCTGACGAAGATACACGTACAACGTGAGTTTGCTTCTTCCATTAATCCTAGGATTTTTATAAATATTACAAATAGTAAAATTGGCTAAATAAATGCTAGAATAACGTCATTTTAAGCTAATTTACTTACTAACATAAAGAAATATTTTACAAAAGCAAATGCGTTTAGTAAAAAGTTCAATTGAAATCTCATCTAAAATTCAATAATTCAATTTCCGTCATTATCATTAATTTTTCTTCCTTTAAGTCGAGACATTTTCACTTTGAAAGCTTTTCATTTTCAAATTTATTTAATTTTTTCATGTTGATATTTTTTGTTTTTTCTGTTTTTCTGTTTTCTTGTTTTCCCGTTGAATTTATTTGCTTTACTTACAGTGCACGTCGTCATTCCGTTTTTATTTATTAATTAATTAATTTTTTACTTAAATGACAAAATGATAATCAACGAATTTTAAACTAAGTCAATTTTCTAATTTATATGAAATTTATATGTAAACGTTATGTGAAATTATATATATATGCATTTTTTTTTTTTTAGAATGAACTATATGTTGTAAAGAATTAATTTTTTTTTTTTTTTGTTTTTTTTACATCCACTACCAATGAGTAATTTAAGTCATATCAGTCTGTGTGACGGTAGATGCATTTAATTTAATATAGAAATTGAATGCAAAAATCCTTTGTCGTTTCCCTTTCAAGTTGTCCATTTTTTAATCTCTATTATCTATCTATTAAGTGTCGAAAGCATTTCTAAGATTTTTAACTTACAAACTGAAACATTGGAAAAAATTGAAACTGATCCTTCGACTGATATATTATAGGTAGTGGGTAGGCTTATCAATATTCGTCTAAAAGGCGAACATATCTTCGTTTTTTTACTTTACTTTTTAATTATTTACAACTAACTAAATTAAAAAATTGTTTGCTTATATAGGTCTTTTTAGATCTGTCATTATAAAACAAAAGAAATTGTTAGCAGGAGCTAAGTGATTCTTTCGAATATAAGAGAACATATTAAACTATATTTAAGCTAATGTCCAAAATTGTAAAATATTAAGATACTCATAGTATAAGAATCATTATCACCAATTGATTGATTTATTTTTTTGCCTTTTGCTCCTAATTACTAATACTCCACCATCAAGTATGATCCGTGTTGGGCATAGTAAAAATTTTTACCAATTTTTATTATTAATACTTCATATACTTGAACATTTTTGTCTGGGGAAAGCGTTGAGAGAGAAATGGCGCCCACTCTGCTTAAATCCTCTCCGTTCATTTAAATTCTTGAATGTTAGATTTTTAGACATCTTTTAATCATTGTTTTTTTTTTTTGTCGATAGGCATTGAAACGAGAATGTCACATGATGGGATAAAAATGGTTCTATTTAATCGATTTTTAATAAAGACTGCCTGCCCTTTGAGCAAAATGTTACTAAAATATCTCGAAAATTTTGGCTTAAATTCCAAACAAGTGGATAAATATCAGTCAGGCAGGCTTAAATCCCTTCAGGAGAAGATTGTAAATTAATTGGTGCAGTGAAAGCTGCCTCTATCTCAAACAGTCCTGGTATAAACCACCACGAATTCAGGATACTCGTATCCTACAAATGAAACATCAAATGTGAAATGCTCTCCCTTATTCATGCCAGAGAACATAACGAGCTCTTCAAATGTTTACAAGAATAACTATGGATACGGGAATTGTATTTGAAAAGCTCGTATTAATAAGATATCAAACGTAAATTGTTGCATTTTACCCTTGATCGTTTAAGTTTAATTACCACCAAACTGCTCATGTGTAAGTATGTAATGGTGTAGTATGCGATTTTTATTCCAACTAAAATCTACGAAAATGTTTTACAATAACAAAAACGATAACCTTCTGGTATCTTTCAAAAAATCTGCCCACGTTAAGCTTCGTTTCGTTTAATTGTAACTTTCTAACCCATTTGTTTATTTAGTTGATTTTGCTAGGATTAGGTTGCAATGTGAGGCAAGGACTTTGCCTATTAGAAGAGATTTGATTGATCGAAATGATTTCACTCAGGTGCTTATAAAGGGATATCTACTAAATCTACTAAAAACTATTCTAATTTAGAATATAATTAACCATTAAAAAAATTACCTGAACGTTAAGTCCAATATTGAAATTATGATTGAAATATAGAAATTATGATTTTGAATATTTAATTTAAACATAAAAGAATTACTTAACATTAACATACTTTTAAGGGCAAAATAAACTGTTATTATGGAAACAAAAGAGCTTTACAAACGAAAAAAACCACATCTCATCGTGTTTTAATTAATTCGTAAAGTCCTTTTTCAGTAATCAGGAAGTAATGGATGCTCTTGTGCATATGAAGACAAGCGAAAATGGTTTGAATAAAGGAAGGGAAATAGGAGGGAGGAAAGCATCAACATTGAAAACGAGTTATGATGAGAAAATTTGCCCTCCAGTAATCAAGATTGACAATGAACAACATGGAGGAATCAGTCGTACGAAACCGATCGTATTTCAAGCTAATGGTAACATAGAGAAATTATTAGGTAAAAATCATAACAACAATAGCAACGAAATATCAATACGTTGTCACGAGAATAATCAAGAATTTGAGAGCAGTTCAGTTAATGGTCAAATATTTCCGCAAGTAATTGAATTAAAATTTATAACAAGGAGAATCTTGCCCTCAGCTAGAACAAGAGGAGTAGCGCACTAATTTTTCGGTTCGAAAAACGCCGGCTTTTTCCATTCAATTGGGATTTTGCTAAATTTCGAAATTGAAGAACTAAGAGGTAGATTGCTTTTTTATTGGAATAATTTTATATTGTTGAAAAACATTCTAAACCGATTAATAAATAATTATAAAGAAAAAAAACTCTTTTTCATTTATTCAAATTCGGTTGTTGTAAATAGGTGTGATGTTCAATACATAAATTTTCTATTCACAAAATATGTAAATATAAATAAATAAATATTATTAATATATATATAATAAAAATATTTGTCAACTAATCTAAAAGTTAGCCGGCGGTATGCTGCAACGATATAAAAACATTTGCATTTGCTTTCGATTAAAACTTGATAAACCAATAGAACGAGTTAAATTCAAGGCCACAAGATGCTCCATTCTTCAGAGAAAGATACAAGGAAAATATTTTAAACATTTACATCACAATTATTACACAACGTTCTTGTCTCACATCCTTTCGAATTTTACATGATCAGAGAATAAAAAGTTTTTATTTTCTACGGCGACCTGTTTCCAAATAGATGAGACCCTTTTTAAAAGCACTAAACTTTACGAAATGTTGCAGAGAATTTTATGATAAATTGAATTTTGCAAAAGTCTATTTATACCTGTTGAATATGCAGCCCGCGTATTGACCAAATTGAATTTGCAACCAAAGACCGCATCTTACCCTTTAGATGCCACTGAGTCAAAACCTTGATTAAAATGCTGCATTTATGGGGAATTCACGGGAGACCAGAATGTCCTCTGCGCTATCTTCATCAAGTTTTTAGTAACTTGCGGTTCTGTGCACTTAAAAGAACATTTTTTTGACAATGTCTACTAAATTAGAAGGTTCTGAAAAGATGGCGCATCATGTTATTATTTTTTAATGGGTGAGATGTAAGGTTAAATATTAGTTTGGGGAAAAAGAAATCCATTATTTTTATATGAACTTCAGGACTTTATTTAACATGCTTCGGATTGTCCGATTTGGGTCAAATAAGCACCGTTTCGTTGTATGATTTGTTGCCATTTTAAAGGTAACTCTCTCATAGAAGTCCTGGTCTCTATTTGCAAAAAACTCTAGTAGTCGATTTTCACAATCCTCCCTAGATTCCAATTTTTTATCATTAAAGGAATTTTGCAATGCAAGAAAAAGATGATAATCGCTTGGTGCCAAGTCCGGACTGTATGAAGGATGCATTAAAACTTCCCAACCAAGCTCCCGAAGTTTCTGGCGAGTCACTGTAGATGTGTGTGGCCTAGCGTTGTCCTGGTGGAACACGACACCTCTCCTGTTGGCCAATTCTGGCCGTTTCTGGTCAATCGCTATCTTCAAACGGTCCAGTTGTTAACTGTAGAGATCAGAATTTAGCGTTTGGCCATATGGAAGCAACTCATAATAAATAATCCCCTTCCAGTCCCACCAAATGCATAGGAAAACCTTCCTGGCCGTTTGAGGTGCTTCACCGCTCTTTGACCACGATCGTTTTCGCACAGGGTTATCGTATGTGATCCATTTCTCAGCTCCAGTCACCATCCGTTTAAGAAATGGGTCTATCTCATTGCGTGTGGCCAAGGCTTCGCAGATGGAAATTCGATCCATCATGTTTTTTTCTGTTAATTGGTGTGGCACCCAAACATCGAGCTTCTTTTTGAATCCAGCTTTGTGTAAATGGTTAAAAACGTTTTATGGTCGATTTTTAGCTCCTGGGCGATGTTACGACTGCTGACGACCGGCCTTCCGGTGCATCTTTAACATCAAAAATTCCTGAATGGAATCTACGAAACCAAAATTGCACATAATTGGCTGTTACAGTATCGGAACCATAAACACCATTCACAATTTTAGCCGCCTGGCTTGCATTTTCGCCTTTGTCAAAGAAAAACTGTAAAATGTACCGAATTTTCTCTTTCACTTTCTTTCACTCTTTCTGTTCACTTCCATTTTTAACACAATGTAACTTACAACTGAATGCACCAAACAAAAAACAGCGAAAGAATTTTTTTTTACTGCGAAATGTCACCTTTTCAACGAGCATAAATCTGAAATTGTTTGATTGATACTTTACGAGAAATCTATCAGTGCAGCCACCTACCGAAAAAATAATGGATTTCTTTTTCCCCAAATTAATACTAATAATAAGATATCATCATTCTTTACAAATTACGAGCCGTTATCATCATTTACAAATTATTAAACCATTATCATCACGCTTGATATCATCATTCTTGCTAAAACCACCTGAGGGCCTACGGATTAAATACAAGTTCAGATAATCTAATAGCAATTTGGCCAATTAATTTCTTATGGTTTGTCTCAAGCATTTTGGATTTGAGAAATCTTTTACAAGAATTATTTTCAACTCTTAATAATATCTATCTGTCGGCGGCAATTTGGTAGCAATGGCTTTTTTTTTTTTTTGAGAAGCGAGCTGTTTTTTTAATAGATGACCTATGGCTATCTTATTTCGACAATCCGGTGCAGTGTCAATATGTCGATAGCCAATCTTCAAAGCTTGATCTAAAGCGAATTCAATTTCTCTCTCGGATGTTAGAGGATGAAAAATTATCAAGTTTCGTTGAATCCTATGAGTTTTGGATGGATGCTAAGGCAGCGATGGGGCATTTACAAAAACTTTAGGGAAATATTTGATCTCTTAGCTGCAAAATCGTTTTGTGTAAAAAAATTAAGGAACTATTTTTTTTATTATTTCTATATCAAATAAAGTCGAATTAAAGACAAAAACAAAAAGACGCGATGGATGGGGCGCGGCCCCTTCCGTACCACCTTATAAATATGCATATCATGGAATTTTGAAAATAACGCCATATATGAGAAGTGACCGAAAAATTGATCCAAAACACTTTAGGGTGTCAAATTTCATCCGAATTTATTAAAAAGTGTGACCTTTAAGTTGAACACACAAACACATGGACAATTATCAGACGAACAGACAAGCTTAGTGTAATAAAAGGAAGGTCAATATTAAGCCCTCCTGCGGGTTGCATACATTTCGAGAGGTTTAACTTATTCTTGTATGATGTAGGGTATAACAACTATTGTCGAAAATTCATGAAAGTAAGCAGAGCAGCCTTTTTGGGGTTAAATGTTCAAGAGATTCTTGTGTATTTTAAAGTTTTTAATGCGGATATACGCCGTACGACCTTGAATCTTCTATATTATATATTTTTTGACCGATTGAGAGAGCTGGTTGCTTAGTTGTCCCTTTGTTCACTTTGATGAAGTTTCAAGTGATCTTTTCATCCCTCTTCAATAACTTTGTAAAATAATTTTAGAAACGCCAGCGCGTTACCAGTAAATTCAGTATAATTCAGTCACTAAAACTTAGGTGCGAGGATCTGTCGAAGACCCGATCGAGATCGTTTCGATTCGTTTTCGTGCCCGCTTTAGATTGCAAACGCATGCAATGGTGAACAGAAATTAAAAAAAAGACCTAAGTTTGGATTGTAAAGTATTAGTATATCAATTAAAACACTGCTATGGTTCTAAGCCAATTTATCAAACTTAAATCAATGACCTTGGAATTATGTAGAGGTGATAACCTTTAGAAGAATCTATACGTAAGGTAGCAATAAGTTTTTAAAGAGTTTAGAGTTCAGATAGTGTGTTAATATTTTGAAGAACTTGAATTTTTGACAGTATGTTCACGGAACATGGGCTTCAGATAGTAATCTTTCCAAGAACTTGGACCTTGCATGGAGCTTTTTGAAGATGCTTTAGATATTGTTATTAAAGGACCTTTATGTCAGATAATAACTTTTCAAAGGCTACGGATTACTATTAATAATCTTTTAAAGAATGTGGACTTTAAGTAGCAATTTTTAAAAACATGTGGGTTTTATATATTTATGTATTAACTTTTCAAAAAACCTCGACTCGGTTAGTGAGTTTTCTTGTACTTTCAATATCAATTTTTCAAGCAATATGCTCTTCGGATAGATAGTGATTTTTTAAAAGTATCTCTACTTCGGCTAGTAATCTCTTTATTAACCTGTACTTTGTTAACCTGTAATTTTTTAAATGTATCTCTACTCCGGTTAGTAAATACTGAAGAAACCTGCGCTTCGGATATTTGTTTCTTATGAAACCTATACCTCGGATAGAAATTCTTTAAAACTATCTCCACTGTGACGGAACGCGCATTTCGGATAGTAATTTTTTAAAAATATCTCTACTTCGGATACCAGTTTATGAAAGAACCTGCACTTTGGACAGTAATTTCTTAAAAGTTCTTCTATTTCGGATAGTAATATTGTAGGAACCTGCACTCTTCGAATAGTAATTCTTTAAAAGCACTTTTTTAAGGAATCCGCACTTTATAAAGTAATTTTTTAAAGGATCTGGTCTTCAAATGATGGCTTTTTATCGACAGTTTCATGTAAGTATTGGGAACAGCATTAATTTAAAACTCAGTTGTCGTCATGTGTGACCGCGAAGAAAGCGTTTCCTGCAAACGCTTCTGAACCTTTTTTTCACATGCTTGGTTAAACAAAAAATTTCCCTTTATTAAGGATTGTTTACCTACTTTAACTACTTGCATGCCAACTTTTAAAAGCAATGAGGTGGCCAATGAATTTGTTACCCCGGCTTGCTTGTCACGAAATATAGAATGGGAAAGGAGTAAGATGTTTTTACTTTGCACCTTTCGTATGCCTATATATATTGAGGTATACGTTCGACAGAGACTTGTATTCATGATCAGAAAAAGAATCTTTCAACTTAGCTTTGCCTTGTATTGTGAAAGTGAAAGTCATACGTGACGCATATATATATGAAATTTAAAATTAAGATTAATTGCTTCTAAACTTATCACATTGTTATAAACATATACATGTTGTTTTAAAATTATATATTTGTTAATATTACTTCTTTTTTTTATAAACATATTTCTGAAAATAAATTGTACTTAAATTCATTTACATGTCAAGTGAGCCAAGTGAGAATGCCGGCATTCACGAGTCATTGTTAAGTGATAAAAGCGTATTCTCAGTCATTGATTTGATTAAGTTTTGAAGTAAATAAATACAAATTTTTTCAATTTTCTATCTTCTTATTTTTCGAACGATTAATGTCTGTTACGATGAATACTTTTTATTGATATGAAATCGCTGCGCCTGTCATCGATTAAGTTTTGTCAAGCAATAACGAAAAAAAGCGGAAAGCCTAAGCTACTGCGCTGGAAATAAACCAAAAAGGAAAATTCTAAAGTAAACTTTTCATTTACTTTGGTTAGTAGAGCAAGATCTTCGTACATTAGTCGGCACTTTTCTAAATTCGACGACTGATACCATACAAGAGCATTTTTAAGGAGGGAACCCTAGATGAATCGAAGTATAACCAGGGCACGCACAATGTAAGTTGGAATCAGTGATCAAGCTATTGTTTCATTCCGTAAATTCGACAACTGACCTTGTTCCCCTATGAACGCTTATTTCTTTTAAGAACGTAATTTAATCAACGGACTTATCCGATTCAAATTTCTCGAATTTATTTAGCATACCCTTCTCTGCCCAGAAATACGAAAAATTTCACCTTTTATTATTTACATAATGACTTTTCCAGGATACGGCTAATGTACTGATAGTAATCGTAGAAAGGGTCCAATCCAAGCACCTTCAATTGTCAAGTATCAGATCTTCATTAGAACATATCTATAATTGCAACCTGTTGGTTGAACCCAAAAACATAGCAGACCTCAGAGCCTACGAAAATTAATTTAGAATCTTTTGGAGCAATAAAAGATGGGTTTATCTCACTCAACACTCTTTGCATTAACTAAATATTCGCATATCGTAAATGTGAGTCAGCGAAAAT